TCAAGATCTAAGGGAGTCCACTATCTGTGCAATTGTATTTGGCTTTTTTTTTTGCACTGTTTCAATGCTGGTAATTGAAACCATTTTAATATATTTGGTTGTATTCACTTTATATGTCCTTCCAAAAATGTTGTGTACAAACCATGCTTTCAATGTTGGCCTCCAAGTTTTTTAATAAGAAACTTTTTGTATTTACTTGGTCCTTTTCTTTTACCTTGTAGTTAAGTGTCTTAAGCTGTAGATTGTGGCAGTGAATGAGTAAGCAGGAGACGTTGCTGCTGCCCATCCATGGTTTCTGGGTGGTGCAACACTAGGTACACTTCTCAGCCCCACCTTGGGGGTGCCCTCCATCACCAGTGGGGCTTCAGAGACCTCTTTATAGCAGCATTTAACATACAGCTTGCAAATGCTGGTGAAACAATCCCAGCAATACTGCTTTAGGACTGAACTATTAATACAAATTTTTGTTATTGATACCTTAAGGAACTTTACTTCTGAACCTTGGCTCCAGGTACAACAGGGCCATTACAAATGAGTTAAAATATGCATCTGGTTATCTCACCAAAAATCAATTATTTTAGAAGACAACTATATTCAACATAGATGTAGGCAGAAACTTAAAAGACGTACTGCCACATTAATTTCATTAAATTTAAGATGCTACAAATAGTATGTCATTTTAAAGTTGTTTCCTAAAATGTTATGATGCCAATGGCAAATGGATTCTACATCCTGGTTTCTGGAAAAATGCTTATCTTTGAATTAGCAAAACATACAAGTAGAATCATTAACAATATGCCTTCAGTATCCCAACTACCCAGAACAGTGGTTCTAAAACTAGGTTGCAATTTGAAATCACCTTTAAAAACCCGCCTAGACCCTGTTCACAAATCCAACCCCAGGGGATGGGGAGAAAGCAACACAGGCAATCAATGTGGGAAAAGCTCTTCAAATGATCCCATAATTAGGATAGGATATACAAGCACATTATGCTGCAACTAAAAAGAACCAAAACAAAGTCAATTTTATAACTTTATTTGATGTATTTGATGATCAGCGATTAGTTCTCATCCACATTGACTGTCTGTAGATCTGTAAAGAAAATGACAGTCAACTTCCACACCCACATCACATTTCATATTTCAACTCTAAAAACCTTTTGTAGACGGGTCTGGGCGTGTAGCATTCTATTTTCCACAACCTTTTTACATCCCAGATATGGGCCAGTTTTTCATTCTTTAGCATCTTCCCACACCAACACACTATTTAAAAAGGGTACAATGATGTGTGTCACCCCTAGCTTAACAGATGAATTCACATTTTAACGGAGGTAAGGACATTTTTCTAATGAACTTAAATGGCTTTATGGGATGGAGAACTTACTTTTGAAAGTGGTAACAGGTACGTAGGTAACCAAAGTATAGAGCTTATTTGGTGAATCTTCATCCTCATTACGTTTTCTGGACAGCCGCACACGGATTCGGTATGGGACATTCCTAATAAAAACATAATTGTGTTGCTAAAGTCAATGCCTCTTTTCAACCAAGCAGCCACTAGCTGTGTTCACATATCTCAGATCCCTGCTTCTAATGCTGTCCTTTGCTCTACTCTGACCAACCTAGAACTTACCAGTTCCCTGGAAAATGAAACATAACCCCCAGATGAACATTAAATGCTGTTACCACAGGAGGGATGCCTGTTTGAAGATATGTTAAGGTAGCCACCATTGATATTCAACCAAATAATCCTACGCAGATATCTGGGTCCAAATGTGTTAGTCTTTTATCACCAGAAACTTGTTATGTGATTTTTGTTACATTAAATTGTGAAGGCCAGGCGCGGTGGCTTAAGCCTGTAATCCCAGCACTTTGGGAGGCTGAGGTGGGTGTATCATCTGAGGTCAAGAGTTTGAGACCACTCTGGCCAACATGGTAAAACCCCCATCTCCACTAAAAATACAAAAAATAAGAACCAGGCGTGGTGGCTGCCTGTAATCCCAGCCACTTGGGAGGCTGAGGCAGGAAAACAGCTTGAACCCAGGAGCTGAACGTTGCAGTGAGCTGAGACTACACCACTGCACTTCAGCCTGGGCAACATTAACTCCATCTCAAAACAAAAAACACTGTTAAAAACTCTGCCACAGGCGCATATTCAGTTTATCTCCACATGCAATCCCCTTATCTCATCCTCTCTCTAGCATCACAGCTGATTCTCTTTCCTCTATCGATCTTAGGATGTGCCGGGTATTGTTCTAGGCCCCGGATTCCTATAAACTCAGGACCTCTTTTGGCTCCTGTAATCCCATTCCTCTTATCCCAAGGCAGGCATCGGAGGACACCTCTTCTGCTGCACCCTTAAATGTCCACCCACAGAAGAGCTAGGTCTCAGGTCCCTGTCTTGTTCGTCTCACTTAATCCTAAGTTTTAAATACCACACAGATGCAGACAGTCCTCCCCGCACCCGTTTCCAAAATCAAGTAGTCCACACTGTCATCATTCCTCTAGCTGCCCTTCACTCCACTTCTGGCACCTCATGACATCCTTTAAAGCACAAGCCTCCCCTGCTTTCTGGTTCCACTTTAGAGCAGGGTCCCCCAACACCAGCACTAACACCTGGGCTAGGCAACTCTTTGAGGGAGCAGCCCCATGAATTGTAGAGTGTTTAGTGTCCCTGGCCCATAGTATCCCTCAGTAGTGACAACAAAAAACACTGCCCCTGCCACAACCCCGAGGAGGACAGGTAAACTGTCCCAGGCCAAGAACCACTTCTCTCATGGTGGACTTGCCTTGCTGTCTAGAGCTATCCTACATGGTCAGCCCTCACCCCTCCCTCCTCCTCCACTGGGCTCAGTCATTTATTCCACCCTACCTGCACTCACCACCCTGCTCCCAGATCCCGCCAAGCTTCCTCTCTGTGCAATGCTCTTTCCCACCCTACACTGCTGGCTCCTTCACTTGGGTCTCAGTTCATAAGCCATTAAATTAAGGGCTTCCCTGCAGATACTACCCAACCTAAGTCACAGTCACAGTATTTTTTTTTATACTTCCACGTGCACTAACCAAATTACTGAACTGATACGGGCTCTTGTAGGGTAAGTGAAGCTGGTGTCATTGCAAAAGTTCACCTTCAAATACAGATAACTTTAGCACCTTATTCCTTTGGCCCAGACAGCTTTGTTGAGCCTGGTATCAATGCGCACATCTGGAGTTCCCATCTCCTTCATGGCAAATTTCCGAATCTCTTTGAGTGCCCGAGGGGCACGCTTCTTGAAGCCCCTACGATTCAAACATAAAGTGAACAAATTAAAGGAGCATGAAATTAGGTACATGTAAGAAATCCTCAATGTCGTTGATAGGCTCCTGGAAACTGGCCAGTGTGCTTCAAGCTCAGTGAGGACTTACTGTAGATGGTATGTCCTCCTAAAACCAGCCTAAACCAAACCTTCAACTAGGCAGTAACAAGCTTTTTTTCCCACCAGTGTGTAATGCCCAGCAACTAGCATAATACTTAGGACAAGAAGATGCATAATCCACTTTCTGAAATCCTCAAAATATTAAATTTGATTAAATGTCATGTCTTAAGACAGGACATGTTTTTGGAACAGATCATTCAATGCTATTAACTTCATCTATGCTTAAAGAGCAGGGGCCTGAAATGTGCAGGCAGGTTTCTTCTTGAGTATGATGAGGGCAACAGTTAACTCTATGAACCCATCAAGCAAGTTCACTTCACTTAAATACTTAAACATCCAGAAGTAAAAGGTAGTAGAAATAACAGCAGTTGGCAATCCGTTGTTCTTCACACAGCTTATGTAAGCAACCTATTGGTTACAGCTGACGGTATCTAGTACTACAGAGAAAAACCAGGGAAAAGAGAAAGCATTAGGGAAAGGGGCTGCAGGTTTCTCTAAGACGGCCAAGGTGGGCCAGGTGTGGTGGCGGGCTCCTGTAATCCCAGCTACTCCAGAGGCTAAGGCACGGAGGCGGAGGTTGCAGCGAGCCGAGATCGCGCCACTGCACTCCAGGTTGGGGACGGAGCAAGACTCCGTCTTAAAAAAAAAAAAAAAAAGGGTGACATTGGACTCAAGGTCTAAAGGCAACGAAGCATTTATTTGTGGAAAAAAAATTCAGGCATAGGGAAAAATAAAAGAGTAAAAATTCAACAAAGCAGCTACTTTGAAACAGAAGCATGCCCGGTATGATTAAGCGCGTCAGCCAATGTGGGATCATGGCAAGAACTCTTGATTTCTAACCTAAGATAGACCGATGCAGGATCTGAGAATAGATCCCTACGCATGTCTGGGTAGGGAAGGGAATAGGAGCAGGGAGCTGCTACTGTCAACATTCCGGTAAAAATGGGGACGGTCAGAAAGACCAACGCAGCTGGTCAGACGGTGAATGTATTCGGAAAGCAGAGCCCACAGGATTTGTTAAATTGCCAATGAATGAAATAGGGAAGGCCACAAGAGGAAGAGATTGGGGTGGAGATGATTCGGCGCATCTCTGAGAGTGACAACCAGACGCATGAGTTCGAGCCCCAGGGCGGCTACAGGGATACTCACACTCCATGGATGCGCTTGTGAATGTTGATGGTGTATTCTCGGGTCACCACCTCGTTGATGGCAGAACGGCCCTTTTTCTTCTCGCCACCCTTCTTTGCGGGAGCCATCTAAATGCAGGCGACAAGGAGGCTCAGAGCAGAGTTGAACAAGCTCAAGCCAAGTCCTCCCTCCCAGCCTCACGCGGTCACTGTCGGGGCGCTTCCAGGTGCTGAGAGTCTGGCCAGGCTAAGTCGGCCACCCAGTGGCCTACGCACCCGCGCCCCTCAGACACCTCCGACCTGGAAATACCTGCCGCCCCGGCTCCCCTAAGCCCGGACACTTTCCTCCTCAGGCTTCGGGAGCCCTTAAACGCAGCGTGTATTCCCATTTCCCACAACCGGAGACCCGGGCTAGCTCGGGAGAGATTTTGCGGTCCCAGTTAACACAATCCCAAAGGAGGATGGGGCCGGATTCCAGAAGCCCAGACTCCGCCACCCATACTCACTCTGCCGGGTCCAAGCTGGAAAGGAAGAGCGCGAAGTATTGTGGGAGAAGCAAAGCCGCAGTTGCAAGTACAACTTCCGGGTCGCCAGGCAAGGGGGTGTGGCTAGGGAAGGGGAGAGACGAGGCTGTGACGTCAGCGGCGCGCGCCGAAGTGGGGACAGCGAAAGGGCGTCGGGGCGGGGCCGCACCTTTGGGCCGCGAGCTCGAGTCCACCTTCTCTCTGACGGAGTCCGTCTGGCTCCGCGAAGGAACTTGCGTCTCGTGTCTAAGTCTTCGGATAAAACCAAAACCCAGGCCTACAGATGTATGGGAGCAGGGCCAGGGAGAGAGACTTTCGTTTGTTTTCCGCATTCATTCATGCATCCGACCAACACTGACTGAGCCTGAGTCGAGCGAGGTACCTGGCTGGCGGTCCCAGAGTCACTAAGACGCAGCCCGGCGTTGGAGGTGCTTGCGTCGAGCAGGGCCGGCACGGGATTGCCAGTCGTTGCTGTCAAGGGCGGTGGAGCCACAGGCCTGTCGCGTCGTCCGGGTGCATGGGTGACCGAGTGGGTTGGATATGACCCGAGAAATGACAGATGTGAGATGACACGACAGGGAGATCTGAGGAGGTCCCCAGAGAACGGGGAACTGCGTGTCACCAGCCTAGAGATTCGGAGACAGTCAGTTGGATCTGTGGACCCATGTCTTCCTTTTTCTTGACGAACTCCCTTCTTTCACAGGAGCGCACCATTTTTAGTGGTTTCGTAAGATGAGTACACAAGCTAAAAAGTTTCTGAGCCCTCAGATATCTGAGAATTTATTCAACCCTCAAATTTAAATTCTGGCTTATATGGAATTCTAAATTGAAAAGAATTTCTCCCCAGCATTTTGAAGGCAGGTTTCATTGTCTTCCATTTTTCGGTGTGGTTGAGAAGTGATGCGTTATTTTTTTCTCTCTGAAAGATTTTAGGATCTTCTCTTTAAAGCTGTGAAACTTCATGATGATGGTACCTTGAATTTAAGGGAAATTTCTCAGGACGAAAGAGCTTGATGTCCCAAGCTGAAAGGGTCCACTTAATGCCTGGCACTTTGGTGAACGGGAAAATGCCCGGACCAAGTCACCCCTAACCTACTAACAGAGTTTTCAGCAGTGGACATGTTTCAGGACCTCACAGACAAGACTGGAGGCAGGCAATTTCTGGGCTGGAACAGGGACTCTGATCTCATGAGGAATCTTTGCATCCTGTATCAAGGTAGATGTTGCACTTGTAGGTTTCCCAGCAGTCCTGAAAGGCAAGAGATGGTGTTGGACAAGCAAGCCTCCCCCTATGCCTCTTATCAGACTCCAAAGGCCTTTCCAGAAACCTCCTGTAGCTTTCTGCCTGTCATTGGCTAGAACTAGGGACTCCATTTCAGTTAGGCTGGGAGAGCACATACCCGCCAAAAGCAAATGGGATTGTCATCATTACTTTGGCCTAATGATGAGTTGTGTATTTTTTGGGCTGGGCTAGACACATTGCTTTTGTTTTTTTTTTTTTTTGTTTTCTCTGTGTGTGTGTGTTTTGAGATGGAGTCTCTCTCTGTCACCCAGGCTAGAGTGCTGTGGCGTGATCTTGGCTCACTGCAAGCTCCGCCTGCTGGGTTCACACCATTCTTCTGCCTCAGCCTCCCAAGTAGCTGGGACTACAAGGCACCTGCCACCACTCCTGGCTAATTTTTTGTATTTTTAGTGGAGACAGGTTTTCACCATGTTAGCCAGGATGGTCTCGATCTCCTGACCTTGTGATCCGCCCGCCTCGGCCTCCCAAAGTGCTAGGATTACAGGCTAGACACATTGCTTTTAATGCACGGAAGTGGGGTTCTGTTAACAAGGAAGAAAAGGGGCTAGCACAATTTGTTTCAACCGAATGGTGCTTGCTCTCATCTCCTTTCTGCCTCCTCTTCGTCTTGCTCAGGCACCCTAAAGCCTGCCTCAGGCCTTTCATACCTCAGGGCCCTTTTCAGATCATTGTTCTGATCCTGGATCCCTGCAATCACTCTCTGAAGATGGGATCTTGCCCCTTCTATCCCAGCACCTAGAGAGGGATTAAGGGACAGCTTTCTAGGGTACCATCCGTTAGAGGTAATAAAAGTGTTACTGTAATAAATCAGAAGTCTAGTGCCAGCTGACTCAAGTTTCCGTATAACTGATAAAATGTGAGTAGATCCTACCTCTTGTTGAAATAAATAGACCCCTCCAGTGGGAATCTACAAAACGTCCCTCTAAGATGTCAACTCTCCTGCCTCACATAAAGGTTGAACAGAGGTATAAGAAGGACTGTTAGGTTTGAGGACTGAAAATCATTTGCCTGCCTAGAGTTCTGCAGACGCTTCCAGCTTCTCTTTCCCTCCTAAGCCCCAGGGACCAGGTCAGTGACTGCTGGGCCTCAAAGAGACCAGAACCACATAATATGAACTTTATAACTCTCTGGTGTTTGTTAGCTGGGCTAATCACTCACATGTTTTTACTTTTACTGATTAGCAGAGAATCCTTAAAATGAAACAAGATCTGAATGCTTCCCTGTGGGAGCAGCAAGAAAGTAGACAGGTTGCATTCCCGTCCACCAGCTTTAGGGGCGACAAATCTAAGGGGCTAGAGGAGTCCTCCTTGGCAGTTTCATGCTGGACTGAGCTCCAGAAAGGTCCAGTGGAACTTTCCAAGAAGCGCCGCCGAAAGATTTTTAAAAGGAAAGAGGCGTGGTGGTGAAGAGGTGCTAAAGAGGTAGTGTGGGTAGCCCAGGCCTGGGAGGTCAGTGTGGAGGCTGTTTCTGTGATCCAGCTTAAATGGGGCCCAAATGAGGCAGCAACTAATATGACAGAGAGGAGAGGAATGGCACAGGAGGTATTTGAAATTAAAATCAACAGTTCATAACTGACTTCATATGGAATGTCAGTTTAGGTGAAAATGCTGAACAAAATCACATTAGAAAAGTAGACTACAGTATAATATATATTACATTGCAGAAATCAATGTGATTTCATGACTGGAAATGTTTTCAGCTCCATCACAACAGGATGACCCAGTAATAGCAACAGAGGCAGCACTTGACCCAATACCAGCTCTTAGTCTTACTCTAGGCGTCTAGATTTTAATCTCTCTTTTTTTTTTTTTTTTTTTTTTTTTTTAACTAAAAGGAATCAGGACTCCTTGGAGGTAGTTGTCTCCATGCTTTGAGATAGGAAAAATAAAAAAATCAATCAATCAGTATGGGCCTTGACTGTATTGTTCCCAGAAGGAAATCTGGAGTCTGATTTCTGACGGGCAATGCTACAAAGAGAAAAGAGCCAAACATAGGAGCCGGCTCTCACTGGCCGGGTTGTACCAATTTGAGCATGAAATAAATAACAATGGTCAATTAGAAAAGTTGAGTTCATAAAAGGCCATGAGTTCCTGTCTTCATGCTTAAAATAAAACATGACATATAAAAAAGGTAATTGTAATTTTAAAATGAGTCAATATCATAGATGTGCCTAAGTGTGGTTAGGCAAAAATTCTACAAGAGTTGTTTTCTTTTTTGTGTGTCCAATGAGCTTTTTTCTCCAGAAAAATAAAGCTGTTTGTATGCATAGTATGAAATTCATGCATGTCTGCCCAAAAAGCTGCTAACAGGTGTCTAGAGGATGCAAATTAGTTATTTCTCTGGGACAATAATGGCAGACTTGGAGACCTTCAGGCTGTGCCTACACAAAGTGAAGAGGGAAACCAAAGCAGTCTTGTACCAAAACAAATGTTACCAGATAATTTAGACAAGAGTGTGAAATGTCATGGCTTAGAACAGTTGGCTAGTTCCCCATGTTGCATGCACAAACAACATTTTCAAATTAATGTAATGAATTTTAGTTGAATTAGAGACAGAAGAGACATTTTAACTTAGTTGAAAAGATCATAAACAGTGTACTCCCAGTTCACATTTCAGTCATTTCACATGAGCCAAGACTTTATAGTTTTCCAAATAGGTCATGGTCTTTCTGGAAATAGGACAGGGTTGCAAAATAGCCTTTTAATGAGCAAACTTTAATGAATCAAAAGTTTAGGGATTAAAATTCCCATGATGAATGTGGGTTTAAAGAAATATTACACAATAAGAGTTTTCTGAGTTTATCCAAATTCTGAACACGTGTAAGATTTAAGCAAAGCTAAATCAAATTAGTAGCAAGGCACACTCTGCCCTTTTTAAATGACTTCCAGCTAGAAAATCCTAGGACGATAAATATGCTGTCCATTAAAAATATTGTTCTGCTTAAAAAAATGCTGACAGCAAATTAAAATACAAATTCTTTTACAGACAAATCAGATCTAGAAACCTTTGCATTTATAAAACATGTAAAAATAGTGAATAAAGTTTCACACAGCATTTTTAAGAAGCGGGTTCATTTCTGGTTCTTTTTAAAGAGTAAGTGTTCTAGTGTGCGCAAAATATTTTCACTTACCTTTTTCTCAGGATTAGAACAATTGTATGCATAATAAAACTTTTTGGATGTACTTATACGGCACCATCTCTGCCATCCAAAACCGATCCTAGTCATAGAACTGGGAAGAGCCATCCGCATTCTACACGGGAGGAGTAGGAGCAGAGAGCCATAGCAATGCAGCAGGGAAAGAACTTTGCTCTCTTGGGCCAATGCTTTTGGAAAGGGCATTGCCATTGCAGTGGTTCTCAACCACAGTACACCAGGGTACCCTCCTTCAGCCCCATGAAGCCTCATGATGGGTTGGCTGTCTGTAGTTGGCAGAAATCTTCTAGATGCTGCGGCTATGCTCCCACCCTCAACATGGCATATGTGTACACATCTTATATTGAGACACACATATGCTGCCCACATCACTGATATCTAAATGTTGGTGGCGAAACCCCATGCAATTCCGGCTGAGTGAGTTTAATGATGGGCTATAAATGAGAGCTTTGGTGGAGAATGTCTTGGTCGCCTCCATGGATTTTACCTGTGTCAAGATTAAGATGTTGGCGGGGCATGGTGGCTCACGCCTGTAATCCCAGCATTTTGGTCGGCCGAGGTGGGCTGATCACTTGAGGTCTGAAGTTCGAGACCAGCCTGGCCAATATGGCGAAACCCCATCTCCACTAAAAACACAAAAATTAGCGGGGTATGGTGGTGGGTGCCTGTAATCCCAGTTACTCGGGGGGCTGAGGCAGGAGAATCACTTGAACCAGGAGGCAGAGGTTACATTGAGCTGAGATTGTGCCACTGCACTCCAGCCTGGGAAAGAGAGAGAGACTCTGTCTAAAAGAAAAAAGAAAAGATTGAGATGTTTCCAGAAACTTTTTTTCTGTTTTGTTTTGCTGTCACTTCTACAGTAAACCATTGTTTTTCTGGCACAAACTTTAATACAAAGATCAGAACCTGACAGGCCGATGCAAATACTGCAGCTCAAAAAGCTGAACGCCTCTGCCTGACTTACTGATTGCTTGCTTTCATCTTTTCCGTATCTTTGATTATCCTTGAAACATCTTGAAATTAGAAAAAAAGAATTACTGGTGAAAAGATGTAGGCAGGGATGTATAACAAGGGACAGAGGAAATTGTACAAATTTGTTAATTTATTACAAAATTTTCACTCACAGAAAAACACAAGAAAACTTTTATACTTTTATATTTGGGAAAGGAACTGGTATCTCAGATACAAAATAATTTACACATAAGCCATACAATTTTATTTTATATAGAAATAGGTCATTATTACAACGACTGTACAATTCACTACGCTTCATCTTATAATTACATAAAATCTTTTCTTTAGAAACATCTCAACAAAACATACAAAAAAAGCAAAGTGCATTTTGAAAAGGAAAATCCAATTCTCAGTATTCTCATGAAGATATGTAGAAAGATGCAGCATTCTCACTCAAAGGGCCAGCACATGGCGGGGTCTCCTTGGGGACTGCAGTCCCCCAGGCCTGTCTGGCTTGTGAAACCTCTCCCCTCACAGGCTTGGAGTTCTCAGCAGAATTCTGGAATGTTGGCTGGCATGATTGTGCTTTGCTTTGAGTCCACCTTTGTAGTTGCAATCAATGAAGTAAACAGGAAACAGTCCAGTGTTTTATTTAGGGGCTAAAAAATCACCACCAGCATGGCATGGGGTGAAAAGCCTCATCCCATTAGGGTTTAGGCCAGAAAGTGTGAATCTGTAGCTTGGTTAATAACAACCAGCTTCTCTGATTGGTGGGCTGTTGTTGTTACTGTGGTCTCTGAACGAAGCCATGAGACCTTATTGTTTTTAAAAAAAACAGAAAGTGCCTAAGTTATTTCCTCTGTGCAGCTGTGCAAATTAAAACAAAAACAACCATTTAAAAATAATGAAAAATAATCTCTTTATTCTCTCTCTCCAACAGATCTCTGACCCAGTCCTTCTCCAATACAAAGGAAAGATGATCAAGAGAGTGAAGGCCAGCTAGCGCAGATGGGCGGGCCGCAGGTGGCTAGAGCAACCAGTGCACTCTTGGGGGATGCAGCGAGATGCGCCATCTCTGAAGGTAAACCGACCAACGATGCCTACACGGGGCACCTGGTTCCTGTCCAGTATGGCTATAGAGTGTGCCCAAGAACCTCGGAGGCAAGAGAAACACGGTCAGTATTCCTGATCATTTCCACTGCAGCAAGCACTGCGCTCCAGAGATGGTTACCATCCAGGAGTTCTGAAACATATGCAGTGTGCACAAAAGCCAGGGGTTTAGTTCAGACTCCTCTCCCCATCTCCTGTGGCCACCCCCCTCATCCATTGGTTAAAGCTGATTGTGTCCCGACTTCAGTGCCGGGGCACTATCGGGGCGGCTGCTGGAGGCCTGATGACTCAGACAGACTGCTGACCCTTCGGGGAGGACGTAGGGGCTGGGGCTGTGCTGGGGGTGGTTGGGGGTAGCCCAGGGTCCCTGGCTGTTGTGAGTAGGTGGAGAGAAGTAGTGAGTCCTGCTGCTCACTGTGCAAAGAGGTTGGTGCCTGTACCTAGAAAAAAAAGAACAAAGGGCTTCAGAGGTGGTTCTGATGTCTGCCCCTCAGCTGTCTTACAGGGCAGTGTGGGGCATGCTGCAGATTGAGTTAGACTATAGGGCTGTCTTTCTTGGGGGGTCATGTGGGGAGAGGTGGCTTTGGCAAGACCTGGGGGTGTGGTGGGGATGGGGACGAAAGGAACCTTAGGGTGAATTCTGAAGCTAACTTCTCCGCCAATAGCGGGGGCACCTTCTGGCCCAATCAGCCTAGGCCTGTGGCTGTGGGGAATGGTTTCATAAACACGTGCACATGATCTGCATTATAGCCAGAATGTTTCTGGATGATGGAGCCTGAGGCCACATGCAGATAGTTGACAGGGCAGAATCCAAACACACATACAATTTGCACAATTTTCACTGCTGGTCCCTGATACCGTAGCTACCTCCAGATTCACCAGCACCTACTAGGAGCATTTGATTGGAAGTTTAGAAGCTTCGACTGGCCAAAGCCTGACTTTGGAAACTTCAATCTTACCACCCACTATTCCCTTCCATGAAATCTCCTCCTGCAAGTAACCCAGCACCCCCCTGCTCTCAAAGCTGCCCAGGCACAGCTGCCCTGAACTTTTGCTCAGGCTGTCTGGCTGGAACACTGTCCCTTTATCTTCACCCTCTCCCACACTTCAGGCATTTCCTGGACATCAGACTCGGCAGTGGATGCCTTCTGAGCCCTCCCTCTTCTCAAGTCCCTTCCTCCATGAAGGCTTCCCCACCACAGCACTCCCACTCTTCCCAAATCCGAGCCTGACTGCACTCTGTGCTAACCCACCTTCTGCACCCCACCCCGAGGCCCCTAAGGGCAGTGAGTGGGCCGAAGAGCTCTCTGTATTCATAGCCTGCATCTTGTATGCAACAGGTGCGTGCAAACTTGTCTGTTGCTCATTTCCCATCCAAAATCACTTCTGGGTCTCGAGAACTGACAAGATCTGCAAAGCCAAAGTCTGAGCTGACTCCCACTATGCGTGGGGTCAGGGAGATCCGAAAATTACAGCACAGATGGCTTAGCAGCATTGGAATTAAACTACATTCTAGAACTTCAAGGACAGCTATCTTCATCGCTATCTACAGTACTCAAGAGGACTCAGCCTCTGCTCATTCTCCATGGCTTTGCAGGTGCAGGTGGAGCTGCAGGCCAGGGAAGAAGCCCCCTAGGACACAGAAGGGCTGGGTGAAAAGGGGCACCCTGCACATGGGCAAGGGAAGGCCAGGCCCTTCTGGAGCTTGGCAGACGCAGACGTGTGGCTCCCAAGTGAACCTGCAGACCAGTGGCTCTCACCCTCCCTGCTTTTGGCATACTTGGCACTTGCCTGAAGTGATTTTTGCCTTCTAAGTAGTGACCACATGTAAATGAGCTCCAAATTTTCCTGGCAAGCCCAATTTCACACATCACTGTATTTACTAAGGCAGGTTAGTGGATCTTTAACTAAATGTGATTTAACTTTATGTTTATATAGGACTTTATAAACACACTGAAAAGTCCAAGATAGTCATCAATGTTTTTTGACTTCTGCTCTAAAAACTATGAACATGTCTAGATGCAAATCCTTGAGTAAAAACTACTTTTTTAAAAAGGAACCTTTTCAGCACATAATCACATAAGGCATAATAGCCGACTCGTAATTTCACATACTCCGTAGATACAGACTTCATAACCTTTAAGCATGAAAAACAATCAAATGAGAATCTTTCTGGGGCTTACTTCTATACTAGGGATAGAACAACCTTGAAAGCAAGGGAATAAAATATCTTTGAGACTCGGGGTACGGAGTGTGGCCCGGCTCCCAGGCCTGCACGGGGGCCCCCTGGGCTTTGGCACCCACCTGCAGGTAGTGCTGTGGTGGCTGCTGCCGGGCCTGTGCGGGCTGCAGGGGTGACGGTTGGGAGGCGGGGAAGCTGGGGTGGAGCACTGCCTGCCCCATCAGCAGGACGGGCATCGGGGTGCTGCTGCTGTTGACAGGGTGTGCATCTGGATTTGGAAACACGGTCTGGCTCTGTGCGTACCTGTTTCACGTGGGAAGGAGAAAACAGGTCCTTTAAGAAAGCAGTATTGATATGACACCCAAAGCATGAGCAACAAAGAAAAAAACAAGTAAGTTGGACTTCATAGAAACTTTTGGCCAGGCACAGTGGTTCATGCCTGTAATCCCAGCACTTTGGGAGGCTGAGGCGGGAAGATCACAAGGTCAGGAGATTAAGACCAGCCTGACCAATATGGTGAAACACCGTCTCTACTAAAAATACAAAAATTAGCCAGGTGTGGTGGATGCCTGTAGTCCCAGCTACTTGGGAGGCTGAGGCAAGAGAATAGCTTGAACCCGGGAGGTGGAGGTTGTGGTGAGCAGAGATCATGCCACGGCACTCCAGCCTGGGCAACAGAGTGAGACTCCATCTTAAAGAAAAAAAAAAGAAACTTTTTTGCATCAAAAGACACTATCAACACTATCAACAGAGGGAAGAGGCAGCCCACGGGGTGGGGGAAGACATTTGCATATCACATATCTAATAAGAGACGGATACCACAATATATAAAGAATGCCTACAACTGCACAACAAGAAACCCAAACAACCCAATCAAAAAACGGGCATGGGGCTGACATTTCTCCAAAGAGAAGCTAGAAATGGCCAACACACACATGAAAACATGCTCAGCATCACTAGCCATTAGGGCAAAGCAGATCAAAACCAAAATGAGATGTCCCTTCACACTCATTACAATGGTGATTATCAAAAAACCAGGAAGTAACAGGTGTTGCTGAGGATGCAGAGACATTGGAACTTTAGTGCTCTGTTACTGGGAATTGTCAAATGCTGCAGCCACTGTGTTAAATGTTGGCTCTGTGTCCCCACCCAAATCTCATGTTGAATTGTAATCCCTAGTGTTGGAGGTGTGGCCTGATGGGAGGTGATTGATCGTGGGTGGGGACTTCCCCCTTGCTGTTCCTGTGACAGAGTTCTCCCTAGATCTGTTTGTTTAAAAGTGCGTAGCCCCTCCCCCTCTTTCTCTCTCTCCTCCCGGCCATGTGAAGTTGTGCTTGCTTCCTCTTCACCTTCTGCCACGATTGTAAGTTTCCTGAAGCTTCCCAGAAGCAGAAGCCTGTACAGCCTGCACAATGGTGAACGAATTAAACCTCTTTTCTTTATACATTACTCAGGCTCATGCATGTCTTTATAGCAGTGTGAGAATGGACTAATATGAATGTATGGTAATTCTTCAAAAAATTAAACACACACAATGACCATTCTACCATATGATCCTGCAATTCCACTTCTGGGTATATACCCCAAAGAAGTAAAAGCAGGAACCTGAAAAAGATAATTGTACATCCATGGATGTGTATAATCATATTTTGGTTTATTGTGAATAAACCACTATATAATAAACAATTATTATAAACCATTATTCACAATAACCAAAAGGTAGAAACAATCCAAGGGTCCACTGAGAGATGAATGGATTAAAAAAGTGGTTTGTCCATACAGTGGAATATTATTCAGCCTTGGAAAGGAAGGAAATTCTCACACATGCTACAACGTAAATGAACCTTGAAGACATTATGCAGAGTGAAATAAGCCTGTCACAAAATGACAAATGTTGTGTGATTCCTCTTATATGAGGGCTCTGGAGTTGTCAAATTCTTAGGGACAGAAAGTAGGATGGTGGCTGCCAGGGGCTAGGGGGAAGGGGTATTGGGGGTGGGTGTCTAATGGGTACAGGATTTCAGTTTGAAAAGGTGACAAAGTTCTGGAGCTGGATGGTGGCGATGGTCACACAACTGTGTGAATGTACTTAATGCCATGGAACTACACACTTAAAAATGGTTAAAATAGTAAAATTATGTATATTTTGCCACAATAAAACATTCTTAGGCCAGGTGTGGTGGCTCATGCCTGTAGTCCCAGCACTTTGGGAGGCCAAGGCAGATGGATCACTTGACGTCAGGAGTTCAAGACCAGCTTGGCCAACATGGTGAAACCCCGTCTCTACTAAAAATACAAAAATTAGCCAGGCATGGTGGCACATGCCTGTAATCCCAGCTTCTTGGGAGGCTGAGGCAGGAGAATTGCTTGAACCTGGGAGGCGGAGGTTGCAGTGAGCCAAGATCGCACCACTGCACTCCAGCCTGAATGACAGAGCAAGACTCCATCTCAAAAAACAAAACAAAACATCTTTTAAAAAAGAAAGAGATGGTGATGATAATGGTCCACTAACAAGGAGCAGAGAAAGGCCGCTTAGGAACAATCTGGGGTTACGGACAGGAGCAAATGTCTAAAGAGACTGGAGAGAAGTCTGCTTTGCGTGATGTTTTTGGAGGTGTGATTTCGCTGCCTGGGGTCATCTGTGACAGGCAGTGGGGGTTCCAGACTTCCCCTGAGGAGGCAGCTGTGTGTGTGGGAGGCAGATCCTGACACGCCCTGGAGGGTGGACCGTTAGG